TTCAAATCTCACCGGCTCAAGGTTGACTCAGCCGTCCATCCTCCCGAGGTGGGTAAAATGAGGACCCAGATTGTTGGGGGCAGGGCAGTAAATTAACTCTGTAAACCGCTTAGAGAGGGCTGTAAAAGCACTACGAAGCGGTTATGCTATTGCTATCATTTATTCAGCTTCATGCGGTAGTCTGGAATTCTCTTCCCCAAATAGTACTTAATTTGGTGAGATTTTCCTAGCCTGCCTTTGAGATTTTGAATGTTTCCATATGAAAGCTGAGATTTCAGCATTCTTACACACTTTTAAGCCGTGTGTGATTTGACTTAAACATAATTTGCAGAAAGTATTAGTAATATTTAGAAGGGCAACAGATGGCTGCAGCTTTACATAGATGTAACCTTAATGTCTCTTTTTGAACTTCTCTTGAGGCTTATCCTAATTCACAGGGTTGTTGTAACTGGCCAGAAATGAGCTTCTAAGTAGTGTTCTCAATGTAGGCAACTTTAAGATGTGTGGACTTCAGTTCCCAGAATTCCCCAGGAAGTCCACACTTAAAGTTGCCGAGGTTGAGAAACATTGCTCTAAAACTTTGGGGCTGATTAGAAATTTGAGCCTGTAGTGTCCCAGTTCCATCTGAGCATTGTAATTATAAGTAGTCCTCCCCTTACGACTGGTTGCTTAGCAACTGCTTCACATTCCAACAAACCTCCCTGGAGCTGCTTAACGACCAGGTTTCAAAGGTCCAACGAACACACACCCCATGGTCATGTGATCACATTTTGGTTGCTTGGCAACTGGCCAACATTTAGGACTGTTTGCAGTGTCCTGTAGCCATGTGACCACGATTTATGGCATTTTCTTTGGTCAGAAACTGACATTTACTTCCAATTTCTGGTAAAAACCCGCCATTGGCTAACATTTAAAAACTGCTGCATTCGTTTAATGATCACAGTGCTTTGTTTAATGGCCACCACACTAAAGGTTACTAAATTGGGCACCGTCACAATGTGACCTGTTTAATAATCGCTCTCACTTACCACCCTAATTCTGAGCTCAATTATGGTCATAAGTCAAGGACTACCTGAAATCTATTCCTGCCCTTGTCCTCTGCAAAACCCACCACTGTTGGGGGGAGGATTTAATTAACAATAGGCTGTATTTGTTTTCTTGTCTTCTTCCCCGAAGGAAGAGCCTAAAGCAGTGGTGGCTAACCTTTTTGTCCTTGAAAGCGTGCGTGCCAACACCCATAATGTAACGCATGCACGACTCCCCCTGCGCATGCGCGCGACATCTCCCTGCACCCCATTTTGAGCCTAGCAGGCCTTCCTGAAACCTCCTGCACCAAAAATGAGGTGCGGGGGGGCACACTGCAGCTCCCCTGCGCCCCCCCCCCCCCGCCCTTGCCGGCCCCCCCCGACAGGGGCCCCAGATCCCCAACCGCCCCGCCCCGGCCCCCCCCCCCCCCCCGCATATGTATCCGTCTCCCGCTTGCATGGCAGACTCAAAAATCAGCTGGCCGGCGGGAAACGCATGCAGATGCACAGTGGAGTTGAGCTGGGGTGACGGCTCGCGTGCTCACAGAAAGGGTTGTACGTGCCACCTGTGGCATGCATGCCATAGGTTCACCATCACGGACCTAAATGGTTTTACTCCCTTCTCTCTCACCTTCTTACAGAGATACATTGCCACAATCCCCCTGGTGATGTATATTAGTGGCTTCCTCTCCTCCTTTCTGATGAAAACTGTGAACAAGCGGATTGGCAGAAATGTGAGTACTCCCAGCCTTTCTTTTTCAGTGTTTGCAGCCCTAAAGGAAAATTCGGCTTTCCTGCCAGTTATCCTTGCAATTACTGCTTTGCTGACTCGCATGCATGTGTAACAGAGTGAGTTCCCCTTACTTGTCCCAGCTTCTGCCAACCTAGCAGTTCGAAAGCACGTTAAAAATGCAAGTAGAAAAAATAGGAACCACCTTTGGTGGGAAGATAACAACGTTACATGCGCCTTCGGCATTTACTCATGCCGGCCACATGATCACGGAGACGTCTTCGGACAGTACTGGCTCTTCGGCTTTGAAACGGAGATGAGCACCGCCCCCTAGAGTCAGGAACAACTAGCACATATATACCTTATGGGACAACCATAAGCTGGATGACTGAGAACTTCCATAGGTGTTGAATGAATATTTTGTGTAGTGGTGATTAATGTATCCATTTTTTGGAAGTGAAAATAATTTCTTTTCCCATGTTAGCTCACCTACTTCCTGGGACTGCTGATTATCTTGGCCTTCGCCTCTTGGGTGGCCATAGCTGAGAAACTCGGCATAGAAGTTTACGGGGCTGCTGTCCTGCTTGGGACCGGGTCAGCCACCATCCTGGTAACATCCCTCTCCATGACAGCTGATCTCATCGGGCCCCACACGGTATGAAGCACTTTGTGTAAAAGATGGAGTCAGTCCTGCTTTAGGAACTGGGTACAAATTCAGTGCTAACCCTTAATAAAAAGCAGGGGGGGAAACATTTCTTAAAGAAACAATGTGGGATTTCTGAATCATAAAAAAGAGTGTGATTCCTTGGGAGCTCCAAAGATACCATATTTTTGGAGTATAAGATGCATCTTTTTCTCTAAAAAAAAAAGGCTGAAAATCTGGGTACATCTTATACACTGAATACAGCATTTTTTGCCTCCCGAAACCCCACCCCCTTCATTAAAATGGCTGTGCATAGCTTTTAGAAGACTTTCAGAGAGCTCCTGGGCTGGGGAGGGCAGAAATGAGCACATTTTGCTCAATTCCCCCCCCCCAGCCCCCAGGATAATAAGCCTCCTAAAGGCTATCCATGCCCTTTTTGGGACAAAAAACGGGCCAGTTTTTGCTCATTTTTGCCCCACCCCCCCAGGAGCACTCTACAAGCCTCCTAAAGGCTATTCATGCCCTTTTTTGAAAGGAAAAAACAGCCCCGTTTTCACGACAAACGGGCCGTTTGTGGGAGGTTTGTAGAGTGCAAAAACTTTTTTTTTCCAATTTGCCTCTTCAAAACCTTGGTGCGTCTTATACTCTGGAAAATATGGTATCTTCCAGGGAACAACGCCAAAGATGTGGCCAAGGCTATCCTGAGAGGCGAGCGATTCAAGATGGCAGCCATAATGACATGATCAAAACCACGCCCCTTTTTATGCATGTGACAAGGAGGCAGGACTTGAATCCCACCATGGTGGTCACCATCTTGAATTAGGTGGGGCTCGTGGGCTGTATATCATTTGCAGCATTTTTGCACAATTCCCACGTCTTGACTAAAAAATGTTGCAGGGACTAAAAGGCAAAGTGTACTTGGAGTCTTAGGGTGCCATAATATAACACTTTGTTCATTTTTAGAAGCACGTAAGGCCACTCGTTTATTTGTTTTTATGGGGAATATGAAGGACAGAAGGTGCTTTCAGAGAGGCTTAGAAATAAATGGTTCATTGCCATGCTGTACACCTGTGTTTCTCATCCTCAGGAGCTTTAAGACATGTGGACTTCAACTCCCAGAATTCCCTGAGGAATGCTGGCTGAGGAATTCTGGGAGTTGAAGTCCACACGCCTTAAAGCTGCCGAGAATGAGAAACATTACTGTAAGCAAAGATCTACCACAACTTTTGGGCAGAGATGGGGGGGGGGGGGGGGGGAGAAAAGAGAAAAAAAAGAATGCAAGCCTCAGAATGGTACTATACCAGAGCTATCGAACTCAAGGCCCATGGGCTGAATCTGGCCCGCACGGTGCTTAGACCTGGCCCGCAGGGCTGCCCTAGAAACAGTAAAGGACCATCCCACTGTGCTTCTGCTAGCAAAAACGGAGCTTGGGAGGGCAATGCGCAGCCATTCCAGGCCCCATTTTCAGCTGTGACGGCCTGCTACAGCCCTCTCCCAGCAAAAACAGAGCTCAGGAGGGTCACGCACAGCCGTCCCAGGCCTCATTTTTGCTGACAGAGCGCTTGGGCTACCACAGGCGCCCCTGACATGGGTGACGTCATGCTGGCCATGACCACCACTCACCCACCCCGAGATCAAACACTGATGCAGCCCTCAATGAAATTGAGTTTGACACTCCTGTACTATGCTGTAGAGCTATCTTGGGGTTTGCCTCTTCTTTTTGTTTCAAAGTTTTGCTTTCTGTCCAGGGTGAGACCTGGCAGCCACTCAACAGTGGTCCTGATACATCTGTGGCTCATTTTCTCCGATAGCACAGCGGCGCATTCGTCTACGGGGCCATGAGCTTCACTGATAAAGTCGCCAATGGATTGTCGGTGATGATTATCCAGGATCTGCATCCATGCCCGTAAGTGAAGGGTGGGCCACAGTGAGACAGCCATGTGGGTGAAAAGAAGGTTGGTGAGCAGGCCTCTTTGGTACATCAGTGACTCAAAGAGCAGAGAAAATGGAGGGTACTTTTGGGAGAAATGTTTCTATTGTGTAGTGGGATTTAGTAGGCAAGAAGCAGGCCAGCATAGATACAACGGCATTTATTGACTCAAGATAGAACTGAGGGAGGAGCCAACGTCGCAACAATATGGACATGCGGTCTCGATGCTCCGAGACCGCAGCCAACACTTTTGCCGCTGGGTGGTCCAATCGGACCTAAACCATTCCAAAGAGACGTTGAACGTTTTTTGTCAAAGAAAGGACATGCATAGCCTTCAGGAGTATTTTAGAGAACTCCTGGGGGCAAGGGGGGGGGGCAAAAATGAGCAAAGATCGGCCCATTTTTCACTCATTTTTGCCCTCAGGAGCACTCTGGAAGCCTCCTAAAGGCTATGCACAGCCATTTTTGCAAAGGGAGCAGGGTTTCAGGAGGCCAAAAATGCTGTATTCAGTGTATAAGATGCACCAGATTTTCACTCTTTTTTTTTGAGGGAAAAAGGTGAGTCTTATACTCTGAAAAATACGGTATATACATTCAATACATAACAGTTTCTGCTTGTCAGAACACGCCAAGTGGGGTGGTTGGGCTTTTTAAACGCCCATTTGAATGATGCTGGACTCATCATGTATTGTCCATTACATACTAGCGTTAAACCAGGATTTACTTAACCACAATTTATTTAATAAACCATAATTGGCTGTACTATAGTACCCACTAGGCTGTCCAGTTCAGTTGCAAACCATTATGATTTAAGTTTTATGCATTAAGACAAACCTTAAATACTGGTATATGGACCCTGTACAGGTATATTACAAGTGGAAACTATGATTGATCAAACCATTGTTCAGTTTTCATATTACATTACTGCCTACGTTATGCTCACAAACCATATTGCTGTATTTTTCAGAGTTTAAGACGCACCTTTTTCCATCACAAAAGAGGGTGAAAATCTGGGTGCATCTTATACACTGAATACAGTATTTTTGGCCTCTTGAAACCCCGCCCCCTTTCAAAAATGGCTGTGCATTGCCTTTAGGAGGCTTCCAGAGTGCTCCTGGGGGCTCAGGAGAGCAAAAATGAGTGAAAAACGGGCCATTTTTTGCTTGTTTTAGCCCCCCCCCCCAATCCCGCAGGAGCACTCTATAAGCCTGTTAAAGGTTATTCATGCCCCTTTTTTGACAAAAAATGGGTCCATTTTTGGGAGGTCTGCAGAGTGGAAAACGTTTTTTTTTAATTTGCCTCTTCGAAATCTTGGTGCGTCTTATACTCTGAAAAATACAGGCATATCTTGTGGAACCTCCTAACTTTAAAATATCTGGACTGAGATCTTTTGGAAATGGGAATTTCAAGAGGGAGCGTTAGAGAGATCATAGCTGAGGGGAATCCTCCATGTACCAAAGCAGCCTACCATAAAGTGTACAGTGATTGAGGAACGGCATTGGTAGTAGGCTCCGCAAGACTCTTGAAATGGCACTAATGAGAAACATTGCTCCATCCAATTTTTTGTTTGTTTGTTTTGATCCTACACTGTTTTTATGTTCTCCGGTGGGATTGCCAGCTTTGCTTAAGCCAGGGGTTCTGAAGAGAGAGCCTCCATGTGCAAGAGCAGTCTACACAAGCTAATATTTATCTTCATGTTGCGTTTCTTTTTCTCTGCTCTCGTCTCCATCCCCACCCTTCACAAAATCCAGGACTCAGCTCTGTTGCAACGGCTGTGTGACTTTCTACCACTGGGTAATGGTCTCGGTTACTGGAGGCATGGCAATTGTGGCTGCCCTGTTCCTAGCCACCATCATGATCTGGCCAATCAGCATCCGCTTCCGTAAGTAGGATTTGCTGCGGATGGGCAAATTAGGGTGGTGGGAGAGGGAAGCAGAGAAGTGCAGCTGTAACGACAGATAGCCCTATGACTTAGCGTGACCCGTCAAAACCGCGGAGGACAAAATCGCGCTCGACGAAAGCGCGCATGTGATGTCATCACAGCGCGATGAAAAAAATTAAAAAATAAAATAAAATTTCTGTTGCCA